GCACTATAAAATATTGAATAATTTTATATTATACTCAACAGTAAATCTCTCACCAACATACTAAAAAGTAGCAGATGAAGGTATTGACAGGATTAGAATTACTATAGAAATAATAAGTCCAATTCAAAATAAAATAGGAAAATATTAGAGATATTTGATTTTTGGAAAAATTAGTAAGGATATTTGTTTTGACTTTTAGATACAAATTATTTTCAAGTTTCTTAACTCATAGATGACGCTACATTAAATTGAGCTAATTCGATGTCCAGAAGTTTTGTGTGTGGTAAATTTTAAAGCTAAAAAAATATACTGATAATACTTTTGCCACAAAATTTTCACTTGTTATTACTAGAATGTATATGAAATATATTCGTTCACTTTGCTACTATGTGGTAGAAAAAGTAATATTTGAATCTCGCTGTAAAAGATTTTTTCTATACCCACATGGATATTAATTAGCGTATCCACGCACAGACTACAAAACGAAAAAGTATGCTGTTGCGTTCAACTGAACGAATATATTTCATATCCATTCTAGGTAGTGAGAACTGCAAAAAAATTAAATATTAGTTCATATTTTGGACACCCAACTACTATTATTTTTAAAATTTTAAATAAGTGACAATTCTGTCAAACTAATTGTTAGTATATTTTTGAGTTATTGGGATTAAATATACATTGAAATGAGTTATTTTTGTGTAGAATCGATAAATAACAGCTTTTGTATTTTTATTTGGTCCACATATTGAAAAAAAAAAATGAAACTAATTTAATTACGACTATTTAAACTAAAATCCTAAAAGTAGCGGTTAAGACGCGGAAATCCCGGGTTTGAATCTGAGCTGGGGACTAATTAAATTATATCTTTTTTTTTCATGTTTATTTTATTTATTAAATTAGTATATTTCATAAATAATTTTAAAATTACTTATTTTGTCTTAATAACATAAAATATTTTTTTTTAATTTGAAGATTTTCGTTAGTGGGTAGTAGAAGAAATATACTGTACAACTCGAGTGGATTGTTCATATCGCACTCAGACGATTGAGTACTCGTGCTTATACTTTGTCTTCATGCGATATGGCCATCATATCCACTCTTGTTGCACAAACTACTGTTTTTTGTATAGAAATAGCAAAGTTGAAAACCAAATATCACAAAAATGGTTACAGTTACAGTTCTACCACGAATTTTGTTTAAAAATAACATACCTTTAAAAACTACAAACCAAACGTCTAGTCATTAATAAGTTTCTTTGTAATTCAGCGCCATCTATATTTTAAAATACTCAAAAATTATTTGCATCTAAAACTTAAGACACGTTATTAATTGGCTTTTATAGAATTCACTAATATGTGAATTTTGAATGGGACATTCTGTATATTGGACTCTGGAATGAATAGATGAGTTGAAACCTCGTCACATAAGTATGACATACATCTAGTATTATTTAAATATTGTCACGATATAAGTTATTATTGTACAAACGAAATCGTATCTGCATGTCACGATGCACGTGTTCTTTTACGAGCTCTTTAAATATAGGATGTGACAAAGTAACGATCTTTGTGATCTGTAATCTGTCACAATTCGGGATTCAATCAAACACAAAATGGAACTAACTATGTCCCAGGGGAGTTGCTAAAATTATAGTTAATAATTTAAGTTTTTTAAATGTTTATCAAAAAAATGTCATTACAAACTCTAGACTAAAAATATTAGACTTGGTATTTTCACAAATTGAAAACTTAATTGTTTCGGCTTTAGATCCTCTTTTTCCCTCAAGCATACATCACGAGCCTTTAGAAATTAATATAATAACCCATGATTCCCATTTTGATTTTCGAAACGCAGATTTTTCAGCATTAACAACTTTTTTGCAGACGTTGAATGAGATGAAATGTTCTTTGTTAGGTGCTAATGAAGCAACTGAATTTCTTTATGACCAAATTTATACGGCACTCAATTTATTTGTACCAGTGAAAAAATATTCATTATCCAATTTTCCTTGTTGGTTTAATATTGAACTGAAGAAATTAGTAGCTGAAAAAAAAAGAGTTCATAAGAAATACAAGCTATTCAATCAACACCACGATTACATTCTATTTAGTGATTTATGTAGGCGGTGCAAGGAACTATCTGAAGTATGTTTCAAAGATCATAACAGACAGATGGAAAATAATATTAACACTAATCCTAAATATTTTGGAGCTACATAAATAACAAAAGGAAAGCCCATGATCTTCCAAAAATCATGACCTGTAATAATTGTGGGAGCTTCGATGATATTGTCAGCAGCATTGTGAATGAATTCGCCAAGTTCTTTTCATCAGTTTTTTCTACCGACAAAGTACAAAATTTACCTTCAAATAATTTTAAGAATACTGTGAATATATCAACCTATTAAATTAATGTGATCGACATTATGGAAAGAATTAACAGTCTACCATCGAAATTTTCCCATGGTCCAGATGGAATTTCAACTTATTTTTTAAAAAAATGCATTTATACTTTGGCTAATCCTCTAAAAATCGTTTTTTAACATATCCCTTGAATCAGGAATCTTTCCAAATTTCTGGAAACATTTTTTGAAACCAATTTATAAATTGGGCCCAAAAGAAAAAATTGAAAACTACCGAACTGTTTGTATCCAGTCCGATATTCCTAAAGCACTCGATTATCTCATGAGTAAGTTCTAATCTTGGGAATGTAAAAACATCATCATTAATGAACAGCATGGTTTCTGTCCTGGTCGGTTAACAGTGACTAATCTCTTGCTTTACAACACTTACATAATTAATGTTTAGAAAACAAGTTACAAGTTGACTCGATATGTACAGACTTCTTAAACGCCTTTGATCGAGTAAACCACAAACTTCTTATTAACAAACTAAAAAATATTGGAATATCGGGTGTCATGCTGACATGGATTCAAAGTTATTTAACAAATCGTTTTCAAAGCGTGAAAATTGCGGGTGTTGTATCTCATGATATTACAGTTCTTTCAGTTGTACCTTAAGGTTCTCATTGTGGACCTATTCTATTTAATCTGTTTATTAACGATATTTGTGAAACATTAAAATTTAGCCAATACCTACTTTTTGCAGATGCTTTTAAGTTATTCAAATCTATTAATTCACATTCTGATATAATTGAATTGCAAACAGACCTTGACTCCCTGAATATATGGTGCAAACTAAACCAAATGGATCTAAATATTAGAAAGTGCTTCTGTATATCTTTTAGCAAAAATTTTTCACTCATCATACATGACTATCAAATTAACAATCATAGTGTATCAAGAATTAATACCATTAAAAATCTAGGTGTTATGATGAATAGTAAATTGTCTTTTCAGGCACATATAGATTTTATAACAGCATAGGCATCAAAACTATTAGGTTTCATTTCTAGGTCTTCCACGGATTTTTCTGCTAATACGTTCAAAGCGATGTATTGTTCTCTAATAAGATCACATTTAGAATACTGTTCGATTATTTGGAACCCATATTACAATACTCATAAGCATCAAATTGAGACTATTCAGAATAAATTCTTGAGAATATGCGCCTATAAAATGGGTTATATAAGAGGAGATTACTCATGTGTTTCAATTAATTCTCAAATAAACAAAATTACTTGAATTTTAAATAGGGTTACCCGTGAATAAATAAATAAATATTTTTAATATATGTGTTTAAATCAATATTTTACTTGTAAAAGTGCCATATCTCCTTCCTTAAATAGACACCTGAACGATAAATTTCGCAGACGATTTTTTTCGGACGGCACTGCTACTAGAGCAGACTAGATCGACATTCTTCAGAAGATTAACAAGAAGCAACACAGCGTATCGGTATCGAGCAGATCCAATCAGATTTTATTAGAAATTTGGATTCGAATTAGAATTAGATTGGCGAGTGCACCACATATTTTCTTAATTATGATTGGAAGTCGAAACGAAATGGTACGATAGATAGATAGATGAAAGAAAGATATCTGGATCGGGTCAGGAGTTCTTTTTTTCGTGAATTTCAAGTTAATTCGACCATGACGATTTCTAACAATTGAAAATTAGTGCTTACAGTTTGTGCGATGCGAACGGTAATTTTGAATTGTGTACTTTGACGTATTTGGGTTGATAAATAATCATAAATAATAATAAAATGAGCATTGCTTAAACTCGATGAACCATTTGATTAGAAAATATCGAGACAATTTGAAAATAATAATAATGATAAATTTATGCCTGAATAAGACGGAACAAATTTACCTCATTTTTGCTTCCTATCGTGTACGTTGGTTTCTGCAGTTGTTGGTGAATATGCGCATTATAAAGAACAGATCTTTGTCATATTGCCACGAATTTATATCTTAGAAAGATAGTGATGAATTATATATCAATAATATTTATGTCTAAACTATATCAATCATGTTATATTTTAGTTTTTACTGTCACAGGGTACTTTGAAATTTTTTCTGCAAGTTTGACATTCGTATTTCACAAATTCGGCATAGTTATAGATCTGGACTTTAAAGCCAAACAATATTAAGTCCACTTTTTTTTCATTTTCGAGTTATGGGTTACTGCTACATAATTTTTCCCCCCCTTCTTTGCATTTGTGCTATTAAGTCCTATTATTTTCCAGATACATTTAATTAGATTAATTAGATAAGATAGACCCATTCATAATGGGCGATTTCGAATTATTCAAGTACCCCACACCTACGATTATCGTATGTACATTGAATCCTGAAACACAATGTATAAATAATTTATTTTTAAAAACTAATATTTTCTTTACTTCCCAATAATCAGCACGACTAACACAACATGCTACATGCAGTGTTTCATTTTTTTTAAATTAAATTATTTTTAGCACCTTTCTACAATTTCCCATCATCCAAAGCAAACCCAAAACAAAAAGCAAGCATAAATAAAGATACACAGTAGTACAGTCACAAACAGATAAAAAAAGTTAATAAATAGAGATAGAGACCTGTGCAATGATCGAAGCCACCTTGTCTTTGTCGATCGGCACCGTCGTGATTCGTTTGTTCTTTAGATGGTGGGGAGTGTCGCGCCTGTGCAGTCGGTTCTGCTTCATCGACGAATCTCGTTCGTCGGCCGATGACGCCGAGGACGTGCCTCCGACGAATCCGACGCGACGCAGCGTCACGTGGTCCTGCGAAGAGACACCGACCTCAGAAAATTGTGATAGTTCGAAGCAAAGAAGTGTTATGCATAGTCGTTGCGAATTCTACCAGCCCTGACAAATATATGTTCGGACACCTAGCGTTTTCTAACAAAAACTTATATGAATGAAAAATACACTTTCTTATTTCAGTTTGAAATTTATAGTTGGAAATACAGATATAATAAAAAATGTGATATAATAATTAAATGTGAATTATGTTGTTTAATTATTATAAAATTCAAAACAAGCCAATATTTAGCTGGTAACTAAATTTTCGGACAAGCTAGTAATATTTGACACTAGTATACTGAAACATCGTCTTTTACCACAATTACATTTTGGCATTCATCTATTGAACAATTGTTCTAAATTTCCAGTAGTTTAGCGCATAAATTCATCATTGTACTTTGTGGATTTTCCTTAAGAACAGTTCTAATCTTATGTCACACTCTTTCTATAATATTAACGTCAGAACTATACCAGTCTATACCAGTTATTTACAAATCAAGTTCTAGTTGAACTAGCTGGGTGGCAAGATCATCCTGTGAATGATGAAATACCATCAGGGTACAACTTTTTGAAATTAGGCAACAGGTTGTCAAAGAGTATTCTTTCATATTTTACTGCATTAACGTTTCCGTCCATGAACTTCAAAGTGTACAACCCATTTGATGACATACATCCCCAAAGAATTAAACCTTTTGCGGATTTCTCAGTTCGATTTAAGCTGTCTGAATGGAATGCTTTACTTTTTTAGTCGAATCACACGAGACTGGCTATCGCCTATTGTCACTTCAAATTTTGATTCGATCCTAAAAATAATCAGTTCCAATTTTCCTCTGTCCAGAGGAGTATTTTTTAACTTTTCGTTTTTTTATTGTCCCGTTAATAACGGCTTTTCCTTAGTCTGTGACAAAAAAGTGTGCTTGTGTATCCACTTCCTCCAGCATTTTCGTGACTCAGTCGAGTTTCATTATTCCATTGACTCTTAAAGATGAATGTCGCGTTTGTTTACAAAGTTTAGGCAAGAGACTGCTGTTTCGTCTTGTGCTGTTGTGCCCCCAGTACTTTATCCAGCAATTTCAGTATTGTTCGTGACGCCTAAATTTTTAATTCTATTCAGCGTCGTCTCATAAATAAATTGTGTAGGCCGAGATTCTAGTGATATTTATCTCTAAGCCAGTGTCTCTAAGAGATACTAGATTATCCCTGTTAGAGCGGAACCAAATATAAACCTTGGCGAACCAAAAAGTACAGTCCTAGGTTTCATAAATGACTCGGTTCGGAGAAAACACAACAAATATTGGGAGAATGTACCAAAACATTCACATGGAAAAATCATTATAAGAAAACTATGTTCAAAAAAGAACAGGAGAACTACTCTCCATGAATAGGAACCAGTTGAAAACAATAACAGGATTCATAATTGGGCATGCCCCGGTAAAGGGACACCTGCACAAAATAGGCGTGTACACTGGAGACCTATTTTGTTGACTCTGTCACAAAGAAGCAGAAACAGCCAAATATATGCTTTGCAATTGCGAGGCTTTGGATCACGAAAGATAGGCACTTTTTGGACAACCAAAGGTTGATTCAAGAACCTATAGAACACACCCTGTCAGGGAATTGTACAAACTTGTACAAGGAACTAAGGTGACAGAGTGGGTACTATGAATTAATATGGGTCAAATACAATATACCATTAGACTTCAGGGTTGTCGGAAACTAAATTGGACAAATCCAGGAAAAAAATCCCTGTTACTTTAACTGACTGCTAAAAAAGGAGGGGACAATAGAAACTACATTTAACTGCTTAGTGATACAGAAACAACTTCCACTCGGAATACCTGTCCCGAAGAGATTTAATTGCCATCAATTTAAACAAGGAGGAAACTGTAAAAAGAGCACTTGCATATAGAGAAGTAGATAACATCACATCTAGATGGATGGCTCAGCTGTTATCTACGAGAACTGCAGAGACACAGATAGGGCAGGACACCATCTCCATCTGCACAACCAGAGGATGTCCACAAGGAGGAGTTCTATCCCCACTAATGTGGAGCCTAATCGTAGGCGAACTTCTATGCAGATTGACTGACCTCGGCATACCCTGTCAAGGTTATATCGACGACATAGTCACATTTGCTAGTGGTAATATCCTGTGTTATATAGTCCAACGAGGACTAGAACATACCAAAAGATGGTGTCATGAAGTGGGACTTAAAAACAACACTAGTAGCCTTTTCAAGGAAAAGAAAACTTAATCTCAAAACCGTTAAATTAGACGGGATAGATATAGAATGGAAAAATGAAGTCAAATATCTAGGCCTAACCCTGGACAACAAACTTCTCTGGAACACACATGAGAAGTAGTAAATAAGGCCACAAAAGCCCTAATGGTATGCAGAAACATTGCAGGTAAACGATGGGGATGTAACCCAAACATACTGCGATGGATGTATACTGCAATAGTGAGACCAATCATCACTTACGGGGCTATAACCTGGAGTAACAGAACTAGTTTAGCTACTACGAGAGCTAATATCTCAAAAGTACAAAGACTAGCCTATGTTTGTATTAATGGTGCAATGAGAACCTGTCCTACGGCCGCAATGAAGGTGATCTTAAACCTAACCCCTCTACATTTGATGATAGAGAATGTGGCAAAAAGGACATGATATAGAATAATCGGGAACGGAGTAATCAGACGAAAGTCTACTTGCTTCAGGACTAAAGATACCTGGGACATGCCCCAGGATGAAATGCTAAAGAAATACAGTTTTGTGAAAAACTTCAAAACCACAGAGCTGGGCTGCAAGAAAGAATGGAGCCAATAATCCATCGCGCTTGCAACCGAAACACGTGCTATTCAGTGGTATACGGACGGATCCAAAACCATAGATGGAACTGGAGTAGCAGTGTATGGGCCGATAACCAAGTACTCCGAAAGCTTGGGAAAATACCCAAGCATCTTCCAGGCGGAAATTTACGCCATCGAGAATTATATTCAGTTTAACATCGAGAGAAACTATCATAGACAAGAGATTATCATCATGTCCGATAGTCAAGCAGCCATCAAAGCGCTGAGCTCTTACGTAATCAGCTCAAAAATGGTCTGGAACTGCCTAGAACAATTGAATGAGCTAGGCGAGAAAAATAGAGTTACCTTCACTTGGGTCCCGGGACATAACGGGACATAACGCAGATAGTCTTCCAAGGAAAGGGGCTCAAACACCCTTTATAGGACCTGAGCCGTTCTGTGGTATCAGCAGTAACTTAATATTAGGAGAGATTAAAAAGGAATTGGGCAGTAGAAGAACCGATAATTGGAACAATCTCTTGGGGCTGAGACAGGCCAAGATACTTCTGGGTGAATATAACCAGAAAAGATCGGAAGCCTGCATCTGCCTGAGCAAGAACAGGCTACGTATTTGTAACAGGGATCCTTACCGGACATTGCCGACTAAAAAGACAGCTAAGTAAACTGAGAGTAGTAGAGGATAGTGAGTGCATATTCTGTGAGGAGTAGGACGAAACCTCCATTCACATCCTAACTGAATGTGTAGCACTCCAGAATCCAAGGGCACTATATCTAGGAGGATATCAAATAGAAGAGGAAGATTTACCTAACTTAAAGCCACTTCAAATCCTACACTTCCTTGAGAAAACAGGATTGGAAGGGTCGTTATAGGCATTGAGACATTTCCTTAGTGCATTGGCGACAGAAGAGGGCACACTAGATCTTTTAGGTCGCAGTGTATTAACACCCCATTCTTAACATAACATAACAAGGAGTTGAAGGACACCTTGAGCAAAACTCCATTTTGTTTCGAAATGATCTGGATACCAGAATAAAAACAGTTAAGGAAGCAAATTTAAAAATCCAAAATAAGCCTTACAGAACAATTTTTCAAGCACCTACAAGAGCGTCCACTTCTTAAAAAAAAACAGGGAAAACTACAAGAGTCCCTTTTTCCAAAAATACGAAGCCAGATAGAGCGGACAACTCAATGGGCTCCTCATCAGATCCCTCGCCAAAATCCCAAGAAAAAGTGGAACAACAACAGATATCGTCACTATTTCAACTGATCGATTAACAGATTAATGTACCTTGTGGATGGTTAAAATGTAGTATGGACAGAAAGAAAAAGATCTCAACTCATAAATAAAGTATGATCATGGTTTATACAAATAATTTATTTCGACGAAGCCTTCATAGAAGGTAAGTTCGTTTAAACTTGATTATTTCGACAGCAGTAGATTTTGGCACATTAGCACCAGAAACAATTTTAAGTAAGGAGTCTCATTTAAAATACGTACTTGAACTTGGATCCGCACATTTAGTTGCCTGAAAAACATTGGTTTGATTCTGATTTTGTAATAATTTAGTCACACAATTGGCACTTATAAGCACTAAAAGTTCTTGTTCTGATATGTGTTTATTGTTAAAAATTACAGAGTTCCTTGTTCATTCATATTAGTTTTTGTTAGAAAATGATAGATGTCCCAACACAGTTGTTAAGGCTCGTATTCCATTTGAAAGCGGGGCGTTATTGAGAGAATGCAAGCAGAGCTTTAAATTTGATTTTTAATCTATTTGATTTCATTCTATTATACTTCAACAAGCGAATTCCAGGTACCACTAAATATAAAGTGTATACAGTGTAGTTTTTCCCTAGAGTAACTCTCTTTAGATCTGTTCCAGAGTTTTCCTATCGTATAAATTTGTTATGGATCTTTAAAAATATATTAAATCTATTATGAAGAGTGTAGAATAGGTAGATTTTGTCTAAGGCAGTACTATATAACACTGTGTAAGCACCTTAACTGGATTTACTGCTTTTGTATGGCATGGCTACGAAGTTTCAGTCAATCATGGTGGCACTGATGATTCAATACCCGTATCCTACGTGATCAAATTGATTCATCTGTTGACTAAAAGCACAGTGGGACTATAAGGTAAACCAAACCCATTCAAAAACAAAATA